CAACACGCTCGAGCTAGTGCTGTGTCACAATTCGGTAGTTGACCCAAGTGCGCTTAGGCTGGCCTAGCCTTGGCCAACTCATAATTCAGCAGACTCGAAATGTTGATTTCGATTCTAGACATTTTCATCATACCACACCCTCAGCTCATCAATTGTTGATTGCAATCAATTCTGCATGACTCAGGGTTGCTGCAGGGGCACGCATGCAAATTGGTCTAGCAGTGTCCATTTCCATACCCACGCTTGCATACAAATGACCATCTCATGATTATCGCTGCTGAGATCACGGACCATTGAAATCACGATCACCTCGCAATTGTTTTCCTTCATGTCAGCCTCTTTGCTTACACATCATCAGCAGCCATCAGCGGCAAATATAGACAGGTCCATTGCTCATTGCAACCTTCTCGTCAACAAAGCTGTGCAGCGGCATTGCCAAATTCGGCGAAGGCGAGGGAGGGGCGGACCTTTGAGTTAGCCTAAGCATCCTTGGAGCATGTTTGCAGTTTCGCGGGGTCAATGGGACCAATGGCAGGGAATTCAAATGACTTCGCAACCATCATATGTGATGCCAACTTTTGCTGGGACAACCATGGAGGCAACAGCATTTTGTCTTGCTTTTGTATTTTGATCAATTCTGCTATACCAGCGAGCTAGCCAGCTCACACTGGCTGATTAGCTTCCACGCTTGCTCCCCCAATGCTCGCATGTTCTTCATCTGCCTAATCCTTTCCACGTGCAATGAGTATGTTCCAAAGACAGCACCGCTCAACTAGTTCCAGTATCAAGGAAACTTGTTCAGCTTCCTTTGCTGGTATGACATGGCTATCAGAATGCTGATAGAACTTGCATAAACAAAAAAACACGTGCGCAGAAGGCAACAGTGACCCGCCACCACCAACCCCAGTACCATCCGGGCCCGAAAGGATGTGTCTTGCATGCCTTGCCCATGCCGGGCTTCATCCGCGAAGACCGCCGTGAAGGCGCAATCAGCAGGTTGCAAGGAGCCCTGCACCGCGGCCACCGAGCTGAGCAGGATAGAGATCTTGGACATCATCCTTCCCGGCTGTGACACACTTGGTCGTTTTCGGAGCTATTCCAGGAAAATTTGATCTGGCAGCGGGAGATGGATCAAGATCAAGCATTTGGCATTTCATGAGCCGAGTTGCACGAGGCACACTTTCTCCGCACTGCGCAGTGTTTGCTCTCTTGAAGGGCAGGAAGGGACAGGACTGCGACAAGGATACCCTCATTCCTTGACAAAGGGTATCCTTGCACATAAGCCGGCGAGGGGGTCTCTGTCTCATGTGTGAAGTGTCGTGGTGAGACCCCAACTACGGCATGGAACCATGAGTCAAAGGCAGTTGACAGGGGCACCGGCTGACAGGGGCACAGCAAAGAGCAACTCAGAGAGATCGATTGCTGCAAATCAACCAAGTCAGCACGGCGCCCCTGCTAGAATTTCCGCAATGCAATGACTTGAGTCTTGTGCAAATTAAGGGGCTCTGTAGCCGGACATCCTTGAGGTTGGTCAAGAACATTGCCTTGAACCAAAACGTCAAACTCACGCCATGCTCAGGAGAGCCAGGAGCACAGGCACCCCTGCCATGGCGTGGAACGCGGCGCTCGGCGGCTCCTCTGGGGCAGCAGTAGTGGTGGTGGGCGGCATGGTTGTGGGCGGCATGGTGGTGGGCGGCATGGTGGTCGGCGGCATGGTGGTAGGCTCTGCCGTTGAGAACATCGTGGTGGCAGTCGTGGTCATCATAGTGCTGTTCATGAAGGTCGTGGTCTCCGTCATTGCAGTGGTGGTGTTGGCGCCGCTCTGGATGACGAAGCTGCTCAGGATGCGGCCATCCTCTGGGCGCACGTTCTCTGACGTCCACAGGCTCCTGGGCAGGTCAGCTGTTGTGCCAAAATTGCTTCGTGACAACTCGTGTCACACGCCAGCGTTGCGGGCTGCAAATCATGCCACATCAGGGCGACTGACCAAAAGAATCCCCTGCCTGTCATTGATGGCCGCGCGAAGCTCGTCGACTGTTCCCAAGACAGGCCCCGTGTAGTACGCGTTGTCGGACTCCGGCAGGACAACCGCAGAGATGCCTTCCTGCAAGAGCTGCTTGCAACTATGGAGAAGTTCTCTTCACAGGGCAAATCAAGCATTGCCAAGTCTGCCTGAAAGCGGCTGCACATGATTAATTATCGCAGATTGAACTTCTGCGTTCACCAAAGCTCGCTGTCTAGCTAGCCCTTCATTTTCCACTGTGCTTCGGTGCCGCAATGCATCAAAGCGTAAACACGCTTTCTTGACAATGCCGGTCGACCACGTCCTTCCCTTCCTGCCCCATCTCTTGGCTCTGCATTGCCTGCCTCAAGGCCGGAGAGCGTGCGGCCAGACCCGGAGAGGTCCTCCATGTGCACCGCGCAAAGGAGCGTTGGCCTTGGCAGCTGGCAGGATGGTCGTGCCAGAGCTTCCCGTTGCTCCAACCCAACATTTGAACTGTGCGCAGAGCAGCCTTTGCCAGCTTTCGAATTAAACTATTTGTGACCTTGCAAATGCATTGCAAGCAAGTGCTTCAGCGCATTGCGGTTTGCTCCCTCTCTCGGGCTCTCGGGCATAGGCGTAGCTTGCAACATGCTTCTCTTCTCAAGTGGTGCTGACAAAAACGCTTTGTTTAGGAGCGTTGTAAGCTCCAAATCATACGCAAGGCGGCTCCATCATATATTTGGCAGCGTTGCTCGCGTGCCCCGCACTAGTGTTTGCAAACGGGAGAAGGATGCATCAAGTGCTGTCCAAGCAAGTTGGATCCGGTGGGGCGAGAGGCTGGTCTCGCGTGCACGAGGAAGGCTGGGTCTGGCTGATGCCATGAACATAGTGACCCAGCAGCTAGGCATTGAAAGAAGCAAGGCCGAAGCAAGTATGAAGCATGGCAACGCATCCGCAATGGCGCAGTCTGGCTCTAATTTGCTTGGGTCGCCTGTGTTGTTGGCCAACCTACCACCGTCTTCCCCACCACCCAACATCATCATCCCTTCGGTTCCGAAAACACAGTCCTGCAGACTCCATCAAATCCTAAGTGGAACCCGCGCATTTGGACACTGCTTCCGTGCTTTCACTTGTTTTCCCTTTTCCTTTCGCACTTTCGCACCACCTTTTTCGCTTGGTGGCGACTCCCTGGAGCCCGTGTAAGCCACAAGGTGGTCGCCAGCGATGGAGCCGGCTTCACCCTGGAAGTCGGCGCCTCAGCGCGAGATGATATGCAAAAGCTGGCACCCAGTTTACAGCCTTTCAAAACGATGTATCCGATGCGCAAAATAATTACTGTTCGTCAGTGCTGGATTTTGCTCCCTGAGTTCAATCATTGGAAGAGGAATATGGATCTCAACGAATCATGAGTTGGTGAGATGTCGCCCCCAAGCACATTTGCTGGGGCCCTCAATTCGTTCAGAGCATCAGTCGGTCACTCGGTCACGCTATGTGTTGCGAAAGGTGAAAGCCACTCACATCAGCGGTCACTCTGCAGCAAGGCGCTCTTGAGCACCGTGCCCGCCGCCACGCGACCCGTGTGCTGCTTGGTGACAGACCCCACGGAGTTCAGGGAGCCCTCAGCCGTCAATCCATGATCCGTCACGAAGATGGTCTCATCCAAGTCCTACGGCGCGTATTGGAAACCTTCCCAAGGTTGGTTTAAAGGAAATCTGATCGAAAACCATTGTTGAATTCCCCTGTTTTCAAACATGCCCACAAAGCCTTCATGCTAGCAGTAGAGAGGAAACTTATTCCCCTCTGGACCAGCGCCCGGCCGCAACTGTCACAAAATGTGTCCGAACCGCTTCTCTGTCCTTGAGAAGCAGCAAACCAAACTGGCTCGGCTCCTTGGTTCACAATCCCTCACACCAATCCTGGGCATTTTTTCTCCAAATGAACCTGAAGGCATCCAAGGTTAAGTATGTCAACCGTTCACCGCACAGCGCCGCGCCTCCATCGAGTGCCTTCAAGTTGACTCTCAAGCCCAACTCATGGGTGCTTGATTGTGACAACAGGAGCATGGCGACTTTCTTATTGCCGCACTGCTGCAGGTAATGCTAACACAGAGAAGCAGTGTTAACGATTTCTCCTTTTTGTCATCGGCCAGAAAACGGAATACATTCAAAGGAGATCGGCAAGTCTCTGCAAAATGAATATTTGAGGTAGGCAAAGAGGAAAATGATGATGACAACTCAACTCGATTGTTGACTCAAGCGGGTCGATGAAGGACCAGATCAAGATAGGTATTGGTAGGATGATGAAATTAAAAGCAGAGTGCCACGCGATCTTCTGCAGATCTTCTGCATGTCGTCTTTCCATATTCCCAGTCATGTTCAAACCATTTTACTCACTCTTCCGGCGTGCTCCCTCGAAAATGGACGAGAGGTGCTCGTTCAAGTCCTCCTCCTTTCACACTCTCATGCTCGTTCAACTCTTTTACTCACTGGGTTACACGTGAGATGCCTCTTGACTCAAGACAGATTGGCACGATGCCCTCCAACAAGCACAAACCAAACAAGCACGTCATGAAGGCATATGGGTTGCTCGTTTTTCCCAACATGGTCATCTTTGCGGAATACAGTTGGTCAACATTCCTCAAAAACATGGGAAGATTAATGTAAGTGAGTCCCCTGGCTTTTGTCGGAAACTTGGTGCATTCTGCCCTGTTCCTCACAAATGAACCAAAGACTACTGGAAAGATTGAACCTCATAGATTGTCAGGCACTGACCTTTTGGACCCATCTAGCTTAAGTAAAGCACTGATTGATTGCTCTCATGGCAGATAATCACATGCCTGTGTAGCGCTGCGAAAGCTGCAGACTTTTGCCGAGCTTCGTCCGCGAAGACTGCTGTGAAGGCACAATCGCCGGGGCTGAGCGCCTTTGCACCGCCCAGGCAAAAGGCCAAGATGGAGGTCAGCTTCATGGCCGAGTTTCTTCTCCCCGCTTTGCGCCGTGATTGAGCCAAACAGCTTTGGATGCCAAGATGGAGTACCTTAAAGATGCATGTTCCCAATGGAATTTCTGATTGACAGCATGAAGAGTGAGCAAGGCTCACAAGCATAATAATGCATGAATTATCATAGTCAGAGCCAGCGCCATTGCTTCATCTCAATGAAATCGATCCCGCAAGAATAAAGGCAATCTTCAAAGGAATCCCGGAAAGCAGCTTCTTGGCAGAACGCGTGTTTAACATCATGTGTCCGTTTCCTGGAAAATGCCTTCTTCTGCTGAACCCTTCGCTGCAATTCCATGCCACTCACATAGCATCAGCAGTTTACTGGTCGGTTTTCCAATGACCCTTCTGTCGCCCTCACCACCCATCTGTCACCTCTGCCATCGCCCTCCCTCCATGCCTAAACTCTGCAGTGCAGCGTGACTGCCCACCACTAGGAGAAAAGGACTGGCGGGCCGGGGGTCCAACTAGAAGCCATCCCCAACAAGACTGTACCGCAAGCCAGAGTCAGCTTGGCTTTGACAGTGGTCACACTCGAAGGTTCTCTTCAAACGGTGATCAAACGATACACCAAATCAGCCCAGTGGTCGCAAATGCCAAAGAAGAAACTGTTTCCAGTGGGGCAGTCATGTCCACCTTTGTCCTGCAAATCAAGGTTGCACAAAAGACGTAACCCAAACATTTGATTTCTTACTGCATGCTTGAAAGGGTGCCAAGTCAGGAAAGGGAAGCTCCATTAACTTGGCGCAGAGTTCCTGAATTATGACGCTTGACACCTGCAATGTGTGCTGCTTTCAGGACCATTTCTCTACTGCATTCCTGAGCTCCCAAGAAAAAGGGCCAGAGTCAGTCTCGGTTTTCCCGCGGGCAGCACAGAAGGCAAACTTTTAAAATGCCTTTGGATAGTAACAAAGCTGGTCCTGCTAGGGTTCTGAAACACTGCATCCTGTTCCGCCTGCTTGCGCCTCTCGGACAGCAATCAGGGTGGAGTGTCTTGTTTGCGTTTGCAAGCCTTCCAATCGCTCGCAGGAACACGTCTGTGTTTGCTGTCTTGTGCTGGGTGGACCTTTGACTCTTTCCACATACACCATGTCGAGACATTCCAAATCACAGTATCATGATTGAGTGGCTTTCTAGTCACTTCAAACGCGCACAAAACAACCCCCAGACCACCCTGCCTCGTAGGCTGCGCTGACTGGCACTTCCTCTGGAAGCTCTGCGCTAGGCTCCAAGTAGTAACAGTCATTCCTAAGGCGAGTCAAGGCACCCAATCACAAGTGTGATTCACTTCGCTTCAGGGTGCCTGACTTAGGCTTTACAACTACAGGCTCTAGGACTGTAGCAAACAATGAAGGCCGGACACAGATTCTGAGAATTGCGTTGTTGCTTTATGACACCTGGTCGCCTTCTTTGGTACTAAAGGAAGCCGGAGACAGGTATGTCAAGGACTGTCTTCGGAACCCATGCACGCATGATGGACAGTAGATATTCTAGTGTCGCTGGCTTTCCATTCACCAGCATCGATGGAGGGCCGAAGCTGAAATTGTCAAGGCCCCTACACCCTGGAGCAGGTAAACGGCAGCCTCTCCAACACGTTCAGCTTGTCCTGGCTCCATGCTTCGTCCCGCTGCTCGCGAAGGGACGTATTCAAAACCAGCTGAAACGAACCCTTAGACATAGGTCACAGGCCATCGAGATATCGTTGGTCTCGAGTTCATGTGCCAGAGCTTGCTGGCTTGCTGGCCTGCAACCTGCGCTTAGGCAAATCATTCTCAGGTTGTTTATGCATGTAATGCTGTACTGCAAAAGCAACAAGGCGTTGCAAGCAGCCAAGCGCAGCTCGTAAAACAAAAGGGGGGGGGGAAAACTCAGGCCGTAGACTACATTGAGTTCTGACTCTACACATTGACCCGAACATGTTCAAACACTATGCCATACCAACAGAAAATGCAGAAAGAAAAACATGCCTCTCCACATATGTGGTGGTTTCTTGACATCTTTAAACGCTGCCAACAAAGAAACTGTCGAATCATGCACTCCTTGGTGGACTTCAAGATCTGCACACCTGGGCTCAGGCTATGACCACTTCGCGCGGGTCATGCCAAAGATCTTGATTTTGTTCGTCAAGGCATCAAGCGTTTGGACCAGCTCTAAGCCGCCTGTGCTCCTCAGTTATGTATTATATACTCACTTTCGGCCTTGCAGTTCTTGCGCTCCGCTTGCTATCTTGACTCCGAGGTTTGAGAACAAAAAGGACCCCAAACGGTGCAGACTATATGTCGCAAGGTCTTGTCACTTTCGCATTGAGTTTGACAAGGGTCACGTGGGACAGAATGCGAGTGCGGATAGAGATGAAAAAATGACACCCATGCCTTCGTAAACTGGAACCGAGCACCTTTGAAGGACATCATGCAAAACTACGACTGCTACAAGCCTGCGCTGCCCGAATCGCACACATTGACGGCACCATCCAACGTGCACACGCTCAGGATCGTTTCAAGGCACCCATGCGACCCAAACATCTGCTGAGAGCAAACAGGTGTATCGTTCTACTTCAAAAATACGAAAGACATTAAGACGGAAAACTGCAAATCGTTGCAGGAAAGCGGTCATGCCCCAACTGGGAGACAAACAAACTCCTCCAAGGAAGTCTACCCCGAGAAATCCCAAACGTGGATGGGCAATTCGCTGCGCCGCGCACGCATGGACCCAAACGTGGGGCACAGCTGCACCCCAGCGCCTGGCAAGACCTGCCTAACTGCTAAATGAGCTGATTGTAAAAGTGGCTTGCGCTGCCTGACGCGGCCATCCCACCAAAAGGCGGAGGAAGCAATGGCTTGCAAGAAAGTCAACCGCCGCCCACCACCCAAGCAGCTGCGACAGACGCAGACTTGGAAACAAATGAATTGGTTCAAAGAAGCAACCACGCAACGTCTGACCCAACCCAATCATTTGCCAGGCACCGTCCGACTCAACCCAAATATCCACCAGAGCCACTTAACTGGGTAAAGTTGTATAGGAGCACACCCGTAGCTCACCCTGACCCAAGCGTCTACCAACAGCTGCGCAATCGGAAACAAGTTAGCTGGGCTCAAGCAAGCAGGGAAGCGATTCATGAATCGGTTGCAAGGAGATGGCCAGGCACAATCCAACCCGGGCATTTCCCACCGAGCTGGGAGGCGAATGAGCTGGTTACAAGGGCATTCGTTGCACGAAAGCGGCAGGACTAGGAGACAAACGGGCCTCCAATCACCGTCCGACCCAGGCCTCTCACATTAATCACTGCAAGAACCAATTACACTACATGGGGAACTTAAGAATCCCCAAGTTTGCCCGCCATCCTGCTTGTTGAAGTGTACCAGCGTAGACCGCACAATGATGCACTCCACCGGTCGGCATGCGGCCCGGCGATCGGTGAGGTCGGCGAAACACATGAAGGCGCGTACTGGAAGACAAGCACGTGGCCGGCGGCAATCTGGTAGCACTGGGAGACAAGTACAAATGAAGGCACACACTATGTCCGGCAATCTGGCAACACTGGGAGACAAATGAAGGCACATACTGGGCTCGCCATCAAGGCACATGCTGGGAACCCAGTCAACAAATACACTGGCAAGCATGCGGCCCGGAGATCTGGCTGCACTGGGACACAAGCAAAGCCACGCACTGGGAGACAGCGCTGGGAGACAAATGAAGGCACATACTGGGAGACAAGTAAACGCGCACACTGCGAGCATACGGCCCGGCGATCTGGCAGCACTGGGAAACAAACGAAGGCACATACTGGGAGACAAACCAACTTGCCGGCCCGGGCGATCTGGCAGCACTGGGAGACAAATGAAGGCACATACTGAGAAACGGGCAAGCACGCGGCCCCCTGGCCATCTGGCAGCACAGGCACATACTGGGAGACAAGCAAATGCGCACACTGGCGAGCACTGCCCGGCGAGCTGGCAGCACTGGGGGACAAATGAAGACACATACTGGGAGACAAGCAAATGCGTACACTGGCGAGCATGTGGCCCGGCAATCTGGCAGCACTGGGGGACAAATGAAGGCACATACTGGGAGACGAGTCAATGCGCACACTGGCGAGCACGCGGCCCGGCGATCTGGCAGCACTGGGAGACAAATGAAGGCACATACGGGGAGACGAGTAAATGCGTACACTGGCGAGCATGCGGCTTGGCGATCTGGCACCATGCGGCCCATGCGGCCCGTTCATTTTTACCTAGAAGAGTAAGAACCCCAACAGTAAACTGTTTAACAAGTCAACACACGAGGTCTCTCCCTTTCGGCCCCTTGACTCCTTGACTCCTTTGCTCCCGCGCAGGAGTCCTGCGGCGCCAAGTCCGCCAGGCGCTTGGCCTCCAGGAGGGGCTCCCCAAAGTAGGCCTCGCTCGCACTTCCCGGCGGTCCGTACGTGTACACAGCTCAGCCACTATTGATGTGTCAAAATAGGGGACCCCGCAACCCCTTCAATCTTTGTTTAAACCCATCCTGAAAAGAGCACACCCACCCGCATTTTGTTTCATGCTAAGCCTCTCCATGGCGCAGCTTCAGCTTCTTGATGCGCCCGCTGTGCACACCTACGTGGGCTTGGCAATGGCCAACCCGGGACCAGAATGGACTTGACGACTTTTGGCTTAATGTCTCTGCATCAAAGCTTCAAAGCTTCGCCCTAGCTGACCAAGATTGCGACAACCCGAGAGACGCTCTCTGACTGATCCAAGCTCTACAAGCCAGCACGACCTATGTGCAGTGCAAAGGGTGGATCCTGACTGATGGCCCAGCCTGGCGCAGGAAGTTGCAGGAGAAATGGCTAGCCACACCACTCCCTAACCTCCAACTATCCAACTACTTGGCCATCCAGCATCCAAGCCAATAGACACCGCGGCAGGGCAAGAACGAAGCTGGCTAGCGAGCAAGCCAGCTTTGCAAACAAGAAGCCATACCCAAGCAAATCACCAACCATCTCTCGCTCTAAGCTATCCAGAGCCTAGCAATTAAGCAACGGTA